GTAATAAAAAATATGTATTTCTATTTAAAAAAGCAAAGTTGACCTTGTCCTGACCTTGGCGACGTCATCTTAGGTCAAATAACTACTGTCATTAAATGCGACTTTTTAAGCCTTACAACTTTTATTGGAAACATTTTTCTCTAAAATGCTGCCCCGCCGAGTTTTCTTGCCGTTGCCGAACTTATGGGACACACTGTATATATGTATGATGTGTGTGTGGTGTGTGTGTGTATACGTATGTAAATATATGTCCTTTGTGTGTGTGTGTGTGTGTGTGTGTGTGGGTGGGTTGGTGGGTGCGTGCGTGCGTGCGTGCGTGCGTGCGTGCGTGCGTGCGTGCGTGCGTGCGTGCGTGCGTGCGTGCGTGCGTACATACATACATACATACATACATACATACATACATACATACATACATACATACATACATACATACATACACACGTATGTGTATGTGTGTATGTATGTATATGTGTGTTTACGTATGTAAATATATGTCCTTTTATATAAACAATATATGTGAATATATGAATGCATTGTTGTGTATACATCTATTATTATTATTATTATCGTACTTATTTATTGAAATGTATTTTGATTATATATTATGCATATCAGTACTAATCGCCTATTATTATGAGGATGTTCCATGAGTACATTTTACGTATATTATCGAATAGGTTAGGCGGCTGGCGTTACGTTTATATGGGAATATTTCCACCTATTTTTGAACAAGTCCGTATGTCGGAAAATCATATTATTACATATGGTTAGATTCGGCATAAAATATACTTTTTTTTTGGTAGACACAAAATTTTAAAATTACAAAAAAAATTGTTGAGTGGTGGGAATATGTTGGCAATCATACTTTTGACGAAATATGCTCCTAAAGAAAAAAACCGATTGTTTCAAAGGGATGTTTTGCTCCCTAAAAGTCCGCCTGGGCACGTAAAAAAAATACGTGTCTCCTCTTTTGGTTTAGATTACAACATATTTCAAGCTTATCCAAATCGGAGGTAACCACCTACGTGGAGTTCCTTGTAAGTATACTTATATATGTGAGCTGCTAGTGCGGCTTGAGGGACAAGATTATAAGATATTGTTAGAATATTTTATAAAACAAATCTACAGTATATATATAAAAATACATATAGAAAAAACTTATAAAATTATTAGTACAATTTTTTATCATGGAGAGAATATCAGTGCAGGACATTATTCAAATATAGTGCCAATATTTCAGAATGGATATCTATTAATGACTCAAAAGTAGATAAATGTAATTGGTCTCAAAACGCTAAGAATGCGTAAATAGGGTGTCCAGTAACTGCCAAAGAGGCTGCGGTATAAGGTAGAGATTAGGTTAAATTGAACATAAAATTTCTCTACTATTTTACGAACAATCACGTAAAATTTTGAGTTATTAATCAAAGAAGATTCGTGAATGATTACACACTATATCGTAGATTGTGATGGCAACGTTTGTAGCTGTATTTTTGTATATTAGGTCAAACTGAACAAAAAATCCCCCTCCATTTTCCAAATGACCATACATATTTAGTTATTAATTAATGAAGTTTAGTGTACAGTTGTGCGCGTTAATACACCAATTGTTTAAAATTAATAACTAAACATCTACGTGGTCATTTGAAAAATAGTGGAGGACTTTTTTTGTTCAATTTGATCTAATATACAAGTATAAAGCGACAGACGTTGCTATCACAGCTCATCTATCGTATGGCACGTAATTATTCACAAATCTTCTTTGATTAATAATTTAGAATTTTACGTGGCTTTTATTCACAGAATGGTAAAGGAATTTTTCAATTTGATCTAACCGAATTTTATTTAACAGTTTGAGTTACCGAACATCCTGTATATATTTTTTTATTAAGAAAGTATAATGTAACAGGATATGCATTTACTATTATTATATTATTTTTACAAAGTAGTATATTATGTTTTAAAAGGATTTAATGGTTACAGGTTTGCAATTTTATTTTTTACAAAAACGAATGAAACTATAATAAAATGGACTTTACAAAGATAAAAACAACGCCAAATATAAAAAAAACTCAAATATATATAGAACAAAAAGTAATAAAATATAAAAAAAACACATTGCTAAAACATAGATGAGATACATATAATTAGTCACATATATAATTCTGTAGAAAAAATTTACAATTAATTGAAGTATATATATAGCAAAACTTTAATGGGCATTCCCCAACAAAAATATTATAAAGATTTTAAAAAATCTAGTCAATTTTGCTAAATATTAATAACTATGCGCTGAAATATCCAGGTAAGAAATTGAAGAAAAATTTAACATTGGGACTCAAAAATTTGGTATGTCCGAATTGCATTTAATAGTTGATGTCGGTTTGATGACACTATACTGAAAGAGTTAACATATGTTAATTATATGTACACTTCCTGAATGAGATAGAAGATGTATAGCATATACATAGGATAGATAGAATATTAATATATTGTTGTATACAGGGTGTCACACTCTCCTCCGGGCATTTTGTAGAGACGTAGAACAGATTGAGGTGAACATAAAAGTCCTATATCGTTTTGCGATATTCGCAATAATTATCGAGATATTAATTGTAGAAAATTTGTGAATGATCATGTAGGATATGGTAAATGAGTTATAATAGCGATGACTGCTGTCGTGTACTTATATTTTAGGTCAAATTGAACAAAAAAGCCCTCTATCATTTTGCAAATAATCACAGATAATCAGATTTTTAATTATTAATTAAAGAAGATTTAATTATTAATTAAAGAATTATCACGCAAAATCGTGCAACAATCTTCTTTAATTAATAATTAAAAATCTATGTGATTATTTGGAAAATGGTAGAGGACTTTTTTGTTCAATTTGACCTAAAGTATAAGTACACGACGGCAGTCGTCGCTATTATAACTCATTTACCATATCCTACATGATTATTCACAAATTTTTTAATATCTTGATAATTATTGCGAATATATAAATATAGAAATAGATATCGCAATAATAGAAAGAAATCCTCCATAAAAGGAGGAGGGCGTACTTGGTGGCGATGGGACGTCGTGCGTTCCAGATATGCGTATCTTTTCGTTCCAGAGAGAGAAAAATATCGAGAGCACGGTTTTACTAGGCCGGGACTCGAACTCGGGTCTTGCCGGGCGACTGCTCTAAACCACTGAGCTACCTGACACTCCACGCCTACGACACTCTCCTCTCCCTAGATAACGCTCAGAGATGCCGTTCGGAAGCGACATCTCTGGCGCGATCCCGAACGCATGGCGACTACAGAAAGAAACAATGTTATTGTACCAAATGGTACAGCTGTCAGTCTCTCAAAGTCAAAGGTTGCTATCCTTTAAGACCTACTGTCCATATATGCCCGTCTCCACCGTTGCCCCTTCTCATCCGATGCAAATAATACAAATAAGCCCCGGGGTTGACACCAAATTTTTGGCAGCCCCCGGGTGCTTGGACGCAATGCGCCATGGGGGATCCACCATAGAAGAAGGAGGGCATACTAGGTGGCGGCGGGACGCCGTGCGTTCGAGATCTGCGTATTTTTTCGTTCCAGAGAGAGAAAAATATCTGACGCTCCACGCCTACGACACTCTCCTCTCCCTAGATAACGCTCAGAGATGCCGTTCGGAAGCGACATCTACGTCCTACGTCCTATGTTCTACGTCCCCACAAAATGCCCGGAGGAGAGTGTGAGACACCCTGTATATTATATTATTATATATTATATTTATTTATTATATTTATATATTATATTATTATACGTAAATTATGACATATTGGGTGTACAACTTAGTTCGGTCCGTTTTCAAAAGATGGCTCTAGGTGCTATAAATGGTTGACGGCGACAGCTGATTTTTGCTGTATCGTGAAGTGTCAACATCTGTCAACCAAATATTGTTTACAAGCCTTTGAGTTTTGCACAACAAGTTTAATTTTTACTGCGTTGAAAATGTCGAGTTTCGTTCCAAATAAGCACCATTTGCGGGAAGTTTTGATTTTCTGTTTCAATTGGAAGAAAAGTGCAGCTGAAGCGCATCGAATGCTTGTGGAAGTTTATGGTGAATCTGCACCGTCGGATAAATCTTGCAGAGAATGGTTTCGACGATTTCAAAGTGGTGATTTTAGTGTTGAAGACAAAGAGCGTTCGGGTCAACCGAAAAAGTTTGAAGATGAAGAATTAGAAACATTACTCGATCAAGATTCGTGTCAAACGCAAAAAGAGCTCGCAAGAACATTGGAAGTTACTCAACAAGCTATTTCGAAACGACTCAAAGCCGCGGGATACATCCAAAAGCAAGGAAATTGGGTCCCATACGAATTGAAACCGAGAGATATCGAACGACGATTTTGCATGTCCGAAATGTTGCTTGAACGGTACAAAAAGAAGTCTTTTCTGCATCGAATCATTACCGGGGACGAAAAATGGATTCACTACGACAACCCGAAACGCAAAAAATCGTATGTAAAGCCCGGCCAACCGGGAACATCAACGCCGAAGCCGAATATCCATGATGCCAAGGTAATGCTCTGTATTTGGTGGGATCAGAAGGGTGTGATCCACTATGAGCTGCTAAAACCTGGTCAAACCATCACGGGAGACTTTTACAGGCGACAATTGATCCGTTTAGAGCGAGCTATAGCCGAAAAACGTCCAGAATATGCGACCAGACACGAGTCCATAATCTTTCACCATGACAACGCTCGGCCTCATGTTGCTGTTCCGGTTAAAAACTATTTGGAAAATAGCGGATGGGAAGTTCTGGCTCACCCGCCTTATAGCCCAGACCTTGCCCCTTCCGACTACCATTTGTTTCGATCGATGCAGAACGCTTTGACTGGAATACACTTCACTTCAGAACAGGGTATCAAAAATTGGCTCGATTCATTCTTGGCTTCAAAAGATGAACGCTTCTTCCGCGACGGAATCCATAAATTGCCAGAAAGATGGGAAAAAGTAGTGGCTAGCGATGGACAATACTTTCAATAATGTATTAATTCATTTTATCATTCAAATAAATGCGTTTTTCAAGCAAAAAAACGGACCGAATTAAGTTGTACACCCAATATAATTACACAGAGGAAAGTAGAAGAAAGGTTGGGAGAAGAGGAGAATAGGGAGAGTCTAAGGATAAACTTAGAGGAAAAAAAATATGCCAGGCAGTGAAGATGATGAAGAAAGGAAAAACGGCAGATATAGATGAAATCCAAATGAAAGCGTGGAGATACGGAGGTTTTACAATAAAGGATTAATTTAATAGATTCAATAAAGCAAATATGGAGAGAAGAGATACTTAAAGACTGAAGAAAAAGTGTGGTAGTTCTAATTTATAAGAAAGGAAATATAAGGAAAAGGTGGAAAATTATAGAGGAATATCACTATTATGTACGGGGGGTATATAAAATTTATATAGAAGTGTTAAGGAAAAGATTAGAAAAAGAGGCAGAGGAATAGGAATTATTACCAGAAAGTGAGGCACGTTTTAGACAAGGAAGAGGAACTATTGATAATATATTTATATTATGAACCACAAAAAGAGAGAAAAAAAAAATAAAAAAAAATGTACGCTTGATTCGTGGATCTGAAAACGTAGAAAGAAAAAAGTTATGAAAGATACTAAAAGAAAAAGGGATAAGCAATAAGCTTATCCCGATATTCAATTTTTTTCAATTTCTTATTTGAATATTTCAGTAGTATTTATTAATGTTTAGTAAAATTTATTAGTTTTCTTTAAATCTTTATAATATCTGTTAGAAAATAAATCTGTTAGAATTTTCATTAAAGTTTTGCTATATATATGCTTCAATTAATCTGTAAATTTCTCTGCAGTATCATATATGGCTAATTGTATTGATCTAATCTATTTTTTGGCAATATGTTTTTTTTTTTACATTATATGTTTAATGTGTTTTTTTACATTTTATCACTTTTTGTTGTATACTTGTTTGGCCGTTTTTTATATATAGAAAGTAAATAAGAAACGAAACAGAAGTAATACGGTCACATAGCTCGGTATAAAACAGCAGTAGTGTAATCGCAGTGTTCGGCATTTTTCGTGTATATCCTGTAACTATCCGTGATATTCAAACGGTTAATTTCTGAGATATTTTAGGTGAGCACTTAAAATGGGTCAACCCCGTATTTATAATGAATTAATATAGATTTTATGTAGAAGACATTTGCGCGGATATAAGAAAACCATACCGGAATACGAAGTTGCTTTCGATTTGGTAGTAGTATCCGCTCGACTATCCATGGATAGTGTTTCCTTTGGATATTCGTATACGCAGTGATAGCGTTGTTTCTTGAACCATACGCTTTTTTTCTGATCCTAGACAAATCGTATATCGTCGGTTCGATTGTAGAGGAAAATTCACTTAAGTTATGTCTACATTTAGCGTATGTCTAGCGTATAAAATTTTTTTTTCTTTTTTTGGTTGTAAAAAATACGTGCGCTAAGTACCTTAAATTAAATCTGCAAGAAAAAGAGTAACAAGAGGAATTTTAAAATTACATGCATTTTGTTCGTGTATTTAAGTAATCGACACACCTACCAACTCATCCTAGCGGCATATCAAAAAGAGGGAAAAAAATAATTTATTATTAATAATCGTGTAAATATGTAGATTGTGTGAGTCACTTTGTATTTTATAAGATATTTATTTGACAGTACTTACCCCAGATTTTAACGTTTTATCTGGAGACCTCAGTGCTGATCGATGAGGTGCTAAAGTGGCATTCCATGCCGAAGGCGTAAACTCTTCTTCTTCCTCTTCGTCTTCGACGCCCAAATCCTCTTCCAACTCAATATTTGTCGCTGTAGTTGCTTCGTTGTTATTGGCGGTACTTTTAATTCGTATTTGTTCGACATGTGATTCATTGTATCTCTGTGTTGAAAAATAATTTGAACTGAGATTTAGAGAAATGACAAAAAATATTCAACGTATTCAGAAAAGGAAGAAGCACAGCTTGCCTTCCATACAAATTCACCGGAACTGGAACTGTTGTCCTCGTCCTCTTCTTCTCCCCCTTCGTCGTCGTCCTCCTCCTCATCCTCTTCTTCCTCTTCCTCGTCTTCATCTTGGCTGCAACATTCACGTTCGGTAACGAAACTCGTCGACATCAGATCATCTTGTAACGGTAATGGTAAAGGTAAAGGTAGTGGAAAAGATGAGGGTAATTGTTGCCACTTGGATTCTTCCTCGGGACTCGGTAACGGCGCGCCTCCGCTCGTCTTGATGATGCGCGATTTATCCTCCAATGGGCGTATCATCGAACAAGTGTAATCTAAATTCTCCTCCTCGGACAGATCGCCATTCGTTGTATCACGATCTTCGTCCTGTAGTCGTTCCCCTAATCCTTCCAACAATATCATTTCGTTTGTACAGGTATTCACCAACAGCACATCCTCTGATGGTACCGATTCTTTCGAAGCGACAGATGCCTCTCTGGAATTGGACATCAAGGAGTCGGAAGTGACGTTGCTCTCCCGTTCTTCCAAAATGGGACTCAACGGTGTTCCGTATACATTGTACCTGGATAAAAAAATCATATCTAGTTATATGTGTGATAGTATGATCGTACTGCTCCCGTTCTATTCAAAAAGTGCTAGTTCATCGTTACAGTAAGCTTCACTGACAAAATGTTCAGTTTTTTTTGCACCGCACCTTCGATATTATAAGAGAAAAAAATTTTACCCAAACATTTTATCATTCATAACTTGTAGATTATAAAAATTTTTTTATAAAATATAACAAATATTTCATAGAAAGTAAATGATAAATAAAATGAAAAAATAGATTGTGCCGTAGATAAGATCTTGATCTCGAAAAAAATTCTACCTGATTGAGATATCCACACCGCCGCTAATTTGATCGGATACATCCTCGCCATCCTCGTCGTCCCACTGTTTACCGTATGCGTCATTGGAAATCGCAGAATTCTCGTCGTCGTGACTCTCCAAGGACTCCACGATCTGCATCTGAGCTTGAGGCAATTTTTCCCTAAGTTCGTTGCGAATCGCCGTTACGAATTCCTCTTCTATGCCAAATGACATGTAAGAATTGTCGCTACGCAAGCTAACCGTCGAACTGTCTTCATCCTCGTTTTCGTAATCTCCTTGCAAACATTGTTCCAGATCTCGTTGAATATTAGCGACCTTTGTTTCCGAATCGCGTGATCGCTGGACATTATCTTGGATATTGAACTCTTGCGTTTTTTCAGGAGTTACGTTCCTTCTTTCCATCTCGACACCGATATTTTTTACTACACTTTCAAATCCAACTTTGGCACAATTCGAGTTTTCCTCCATCATATCGATTGTTTCTGTAATGTCAGAGCCTATAACGTCCACTCTCTGATTTTCCATTTCATTCGTATTCGTAGAAACATGACTCAAGTTGGGAACCACGTTTGTCGTCTGCTTCACAGACGATACGTCTTTCTCGACACTATATGCGGAAGTGACAGCTTCCGTTATACTTTCAGGACGGGCGGTGGATGCAGTCGCATAATATTCCGCATCCAGGATGGTATCTAACTCGTACAGAATCTGAAACGGCTCTTCCTCAGGATACAACGACTCGGAGGTTGCAGTAGTGTTACTCGCTGAAGGCAAGAGATTGCCGGACGTCGTACAAACTGCCTCTTCTTCCTCGCAAGACTCCTTATCGCGAAAACCCGAGTCAGAGCTTTGCTCGTCATCTGGCGTAGACAGTTGTTTCCTTTCCTCCTCGTCGTCATTGGGCAGGCTGCTTTTCCGTTCTATTTCCGTGTTTTCTACAGTAGAAAAATGATTTTTGACTGTATAAATAGGCGAATAGACGTTACAAAAGTGCGAAGCGTCCGGTGTAGACACGGCAGTCACGATGAGTTCCGGCGCGCCGGCATTATTTTCCTCAACCGACGTGTCTATATATTCGTTAAACTCCGCTTCCACGTCGGAGAAGCCTGGTACTTTCCGCTCCAGGACGGAATCTAGAGCATGATTCCAAAGTAAAACGTCCAGCACGTTATGTTCATCGACCTCAATGTTATTATTTGAAGAGATACGCTTAGGAAAGTCTATGTCGTCGTTGTCCTCGGGTTCAACGAAAGGTACGTCTCCACCCTCTCTGTTCTCCGCATTTTCAATAGCGGACATTTTGTCAGGTACGTAGCGCAAAAGGGGGAGGTCTGGGTCTCCCTTCGACAGAAGTCTTAGTACGTGTTTCTCGGCGCGCGTGCCGTCGAACGTGCCATCCACGCTCGTGAAAACGGCTGGTGATATGCCGTTATCGTTATCCGGAGTCTTACCGGTACTATCCAGAGACAGTCGTAAGATTGGTGTATAACCCTGGTCCACGGTCAGCGTTAAGAGTTTCGGCCGTTCCAAATTCTCCAGCGATCTGATCTTGCTAGTAGCGTTGCACGGCAAGGGATTTCGCAGTTTCTTCAACGCTTCGTCGAACTCATTCGCTGGCAACACAGTATGTCTGAGGTCACTGTCGCTACCAGTGGCGGGCAGTTTTTTTTTATTGCCAGTCTTCTCCGGCATTTGCGCGCTTATCGACCATTCCGCATCGGAATCGGGATCGATGTGCACAAGCACCATAAGATCTGTCACGGACTTGGACTTTTGTTTCACTTTCTCTGTGTAAACGCCTTGTTCAATTCGACCCTTCCAGCTTTCCTCCTCGGTCTCCGAGCCGGATTCCTGAAACATTGCAATGTTTTTCATTGCGGGGATATTCTTTACCTGCTCGTTAGGTCCGAGACGAAACGAGGACGGTAATGTGTCCATCGGCACATCATCCACGATGTGAGTCCAATAGTCGGAATCGATGCTGCCGCGTAGATCTTGTAGACTGGCGCTACGTATGTGCTGCTTGCTGCACGCATTCACACGTAGACTCTCCCATCGTTGCTCGAAATCCGCGTGCGCCGGGTGCGTGTTTAAAAGAATCTGCCTCACCTCATCCAGTGAGGCTCTGTCCTTCGCTTTGATATTCAGGCACGAGTGAATCGCTTGATATATATTCGATGGACAATTAATGAGATAACTCTGCAGCAGTCGCGTGCCGTTCGGCGGAAATTCGTTTTTCAGCGTCAAGATCATCTGTATCACTTGCTCGTCATTCATGTCGTTGTAAGGTCTCTCTCCCCAACTGATAATCTCCCAAAGAAGCACCGCGTAACTCCACATATTGGCCTGTAGCGTGATCTCCTGCGTCTCGATGGTGGTATCTGTGCAGTTTAAGCTTTCTGGTGCGGACCATCTAATGGGCAACGCCCGATCCCCTATTATATAATAATCGTCGGGGTACTTTTCGACGCCGGTGCCGTAATCTCCTAACTTAGCCGACAAGTCCGGAGCGATCAGGCAATTTCTCGCCGAGAGATCCGTATGCGCGAAACCGTGATTGTGCATATGCTTCAAGCCAGCCACGATTTCTATCGCTATACGTACTGGAACATTCTCCTTGATGAGCGTCTCTCTCGATTTGGCATCACGGTTCGACAGCAAGAAACCCTTCAGATCACCAGCCGGACATGATTCGAATAACAGAAGATATGGGTCAGTTTCCAAACAGAAACCAAGTAAAGCCAAGACATTTTGATGGCGCAATTTCAAATACGGTGTGGCCTCGCCAAGGAACCAGGCTTTCTCTCTAATGGTAGCTTCCTCTGTGAGTATTCTTACGACCACACCGCCCGATTTTGATACGCTTGTGGACTGTTCCAAATCTGCTCGACCCTCCACCACTTTGCCAAACCATCCACGGCCTATTTCTCGCAGGTACTTGAGCTTCTCTCTTGGTACGTTAAGTTCATTGGATTGGAACCACTCGCTACACGGCTGTTGCAGAATAGAACGATCCGTATCTTGCTCCTCGTTACGCTGCGGCGACAAAGATATCGATTTGGGTTTTGAAGTGGTAGTGGTTCTTGTGCCAGCTACAATACTGTCCACGGGCAGAGGTTCAAACTGAACCCTTTCAGAAGCGGCTAATGTCCTGGAGACATCCAACTCTAATCCTTCAGCAGAACGATCAAATGTGCTATCTTGCCCGGTACTGCTTCCATCCTTGAATTCCTATAATAATAACAGGTTTGTTTAACATACTTTTCTATCGTTGTTACGTTGCTATGATAAAGAAATAAAATAATATTGATTGTATATATAACTAGCATTACACATGCTATTTATAAACTAAGGAGTTTCAAAGTTCAGGAATGTATATAATATCCATGTACAGGATGTTTCTTAAATTCTGTTGTTGTTTCTTTACTGTGCAATATCTTAGGAGTTAATTCAGATCATTTTACAAAAAAAAAGTTCATACGAATATATGGTTTCAAGGCTCTTGTTTCAGAGATGCAGGAAATTAATTATTCTGTATTAAAACGTAAATATTTCCTAAACTAATGACGTTGTTAAAATCTACCACAAATATTTTTTGTAGGTAATTAGTAAAATAATAAAAATCTGCAAAAAAACTGATTCCATCTGTTGTACAAACTTGAGACAGTACTACTTAAATCCTATTTCTATGCTATTGCTTTCCTACAAAACAGTGACTATAAGTAAAAAAATAAAGATAATACTCAATCTATTTACTAGCCAAAGTTTGAAAAAAACTTCTTTTAGTTTAGGAGTTATTAAAAAAAGACGATAATTTTGTAGAATTTTAACATTTTATATCTCTGAGACAATAGTATAAACTTTTCTTTATAAAATGACCTGAAGAATTTGTTTAAAATATTAACAATTTCTTTAAAATATTAACAATTTGTTTAAAATATTAAACAGTATTTAAGAAATATCTTGTATAACTACAGGATGAATCAAACGATCTCTTTAAAGTCCAGTAGAATATTGTCTACGTTGAATTACAAATAACTAACCTTACGATATTCGGTACATATATCATGTACTAAAATTGTGTAGATTCTATCCATAAGAACTAATTGAATATAAGATATGCAATTCTTACAGTATTTACGTGTTTTCGTATAGATATGTATAAATCGTACAGTTTATATAGGCAGAATCTCTACCACTCCCAACAGTAGAGTTAACACTAACTTTAACTGACACTGTTGTTTTAACTTATATAGGTTTGTATAGTAAAATATAAAGAATCCGCAACATCAATGTTACCTGATTGCATTTTTCTGCTTTGTCCTATAATTAAAAAATGCAGAGACTGGTGTTAGAGCCGTAAAACAGTGACATCACTCTTTCTACATTAGTCAGGTGCACGTAAAGATCCTTCCGAATTACCTGAAATCCCTTGGGTCTTCTGTGTCTCTGACAACAGAGACATCCAGCTAGAGTTAACGCCGTTGCTGTGACGCTCGAGAGAGCAATCGCGTAGCGCATCCAATAGTGTTCCCATTGCCACGAAGTATGAGTATCTGACGAATCTGTAAACAACAAAAAGTAATATTTAATATTTAAGTATAATATAAATATTCAGAAAAAGCACACTCTTCTTAGTGGTACTTTTACTACTACATACTAACATATAAGATGGGGCAATAAGTCTGTCCAGTTCCGGTCTCTATCTCCAAACTATTTACTGATATTTCAAACAATACAGGAAAATATTGTCTACGAAAGTTTTATGGTTTCGAAAGAGACATAACGTAGTAACAACGATTCTTTTGTGAAGATATGTAGAATACCCTTATAGAAATATCATACTAAAAAATACTGAAAAATTATTAGTGATTAAATATTACCAGTAATATTAGAATTGATAATTTTGTGTTAGATGCTGAAGCCTACTCGTTTGTGAAACAATGTATTGCGCATGGTGGTTATTATGCATGTGAAAAATGTACTGTGAAAGGGATATATTATAGAAATAGAATGTGTTTTTTTAAACAAAATTGTCCGCTTAGCACTGATAAGTCATTTCGTAATAAAGATAATCCTCGTCATCATATCGGTAATTCAATATTAGAAGATATTGGAATTGGCATGGTTTCTCAATTTCATCTTGATGCGTTTCATCTTGTATATCTGGGTGTTGTGAAAAGAATGCTCCATTTTCTTATCAGTGTCCGTTCTCGATGTACATTGCCAAATGCAGTTATACTTGAAATCAATAATGTATTGCATAATATCATTGGTTTTTTCCCTATAGAATTTCATCGTAAACCAAGGAGCTTAGGTACTCGTAATAAAAGAGAAAAGTGGAAAGGTACCGAATATAGAAGATTCGTATTATATGATTGTATTTATGTTTTAAAGAACCATGGTCCTTATAATATCTACCAGTGCTTCCTTCTTGTCCATTGTGCGATTTATATCTTATGTAGATATGATCTGTTTCAAAAAATGAACGAAGTTGCTAATTATTTGTTGAGAGAATTTGTAACTCAGTCAGTCCATTCATTTGGGCGTGAATTTGTGATGTATAATGTTCACTCACTAATTCATCTAGCTGAAGAATGTAACAATAGAGGTACATTGAATTCCTTTAGTGCATTCCCTTACAAAAATTTTTTGGGTATTATGAAAAGTCATTTGCGTTCCATTCATCGACCATTGCAACAATTGGCTAATAGAGATATGGAATTGCAAGGTGCATTTATAAAGTCATGCCCTCATAAAGATACAAACTTGGTAAAACTGAAAAAACCAGTTCATAGTCATCATTTGGACATTGAGGGTCAACAATATACTACAGTTGTCACCAAAGATTTCACACTACAAACAAAAGAAGCAGATCGTTATTTCAAATTAGTTAATGGTGAAATTGTATGTTTGTGTTGTGTAATAAATTCCCATGGAAATATCATTCTTGCAGGAACAAAATTTACATGTCTTAAAAATTATTATACTTTTCCTATCGAGTCTTCAAAGTTAGGTATTTTTAAAGTGTCTAGACCTGAAAAAGAATTACATTTTTGGAGAATTGAACAAGTTAAAGAGAAATGTGTCATAATGCCTATTAGTGATGGTACTTTTCTCTGTGTTCCACTCGTCCAGTTTTTTCATTAGAGAATGTTTATTTTATTACAGTCCTTGTTGAATATTATGTCTTAATTGTAATGTGATATATTAATGTTTTCTATTGCAATATGTTGTTGTAAAATTTTCTGCCACGTATGAAACCAAAATGGAGACTGTAACTGTAGCTCCATCCTTATGGATCAATTATGATCTTAATACATGTAAATGGCCACCAAAAAAGTATGATTCTAATAAAGTTACTAGATGGATCATAAGTTTAATGGAACCAAAGGATGATTTTGAAGATATTTCAGTACAAGTTATGTATGAATATGGTGAGTATATCTTTATAGTGATGCCACACATCACTATAATAAGCATTTATAATTTTCTGTAAGATAGCATAAGAAAAAAGTTGAAGATAAAAATATTATCACGTTTCATATATTGATATCATTGTCCTAATGTCTCAATAACATTTATCTATAATTTAATTCTTTTTACTTGTATTACCTAATCAAATAAATATGAAATGTGTTAGCATTATTTGTTTTCTTAAGCATATTTGTTCCGTTTTAAACAGTATTAGTAACATTTTACAACTTTTCATGATATATATATATATATATATATATATATATATATATATATATATATATATATATATATAT